GGGACATGGACCAAGTACTGCACAACCAAGTGCTCAAGACCTTCACTTCAGGGCAAGGCCTAAATGGAAATTGGAAAACTTGGGGAAGGGCAACCGCCAAAGGGAAAACCCTAAGGCACAGCATGGAAGAGCTGCTGCCAAAAGACAGAAACTCCAGAGCAGTGCAGGTGTTTGGAGCAGATGGCAGGACACAGTTGTCCAGAAATAGAGGAAATCACCTTCCCAGTGCAGTCCAGAGACAGGAACACCTCCACGAAGCCAACTCAGGTCCTCTTTCCATCCCTCCAGTTTATTCCTGCAATGTCTACATTTGCCAGGTTGGGCTGGCACCACTCTCTGGGCTGCAGTTGGCCACTGACACATTGAAATGCCCTCAGCATAAGCCCTAGAGACATGTCCAGGGCAGGGCAACCAGGCCATGGGAAACAGGGAAAGGGGAAGGAAAAGCAGCAGAGGAATGGCTGTGACACTGTTATTGGAGGGGAGGATAAAAGACATGCATGTTCCTAAGAAAAGCCAGAGTTATTGAGTGGATGGACAGTTGAGACACCCCATATCCCTCAGCTCTGGATCATTTCATCCCAAGCACACAAAGAATGGCTTGTGGCATGCAAGTGGTTTGTCCTTTTGCAGCAGATCTAAGCAATGTGCCAGCTGGGCACGCAGAGCCAGCATCAGGGACCTGAAAGCAAACATTGGCTGAAGCACTAAGTGCTCTTCCCACACTTGTAAGCAGACACTCATGTTTGCTTTTCCCTGTGCAAACACAACAAAAGCCTCAAATCCCTGATGCTCCCAAGCCCTGGGTTCACCAGCAGCCTCCTGGAAACCAGCAGCAGGGAGAGAAACCCTCAGCCAAGGTGAGAAGAGGGGCAAGCAGCCCTGCCTGGGTCGGTGACACCCACAGGGCAGATGTTCCTCTGAGGGGACACCAGCGGCTTGAGGGGTCCCAACACAACATCCTGGCACACAGAACCATCCAAGAGGGTGCCAACCCCACAGCCTGGCACACAGAACCATCCAGGAGGGTGCCAATCCCATAGCCTGGTACACAGAACCATCCAAGAGGGTGCCAACCCCACAGTCTGGCACACAGACCCATCCAAGAGGGTTCCAATCCCACAGTCTGGCACACAGAACCATCCAAGAGGGTGCCAATCCCACAGCCTGGCACACAGAACCATCCAGGAGGGTGCCAATCCCACAGTCTGGCACACAGAACCATCCAAAAGGGTTCCAATCCCACAGTCTGGCACACAGACCCATCCAAAACCCAAGCAAGGGGGTTCCATTCCTGTGCCCTGGCACACAGACCCATCCAAAACCCATCCAGAAGGGTGCCAACCCCATAGCCTGGCACACAGAACCATCCAAGAGGGTGCCAACCCCACAGCCTTGGCACACAGACCCATCCAGGAGGGTTCCAACCCCATAGCCTGGCACACAGACCCATCCAGGAGGGTTCCAACCCCATAGCCTGGCACACAGACCCATCCAGGAGGGTTCCAACCCCATAACCTGGCACACAGACCCATCCAAAACCCAAGCAAGGGGGTTCCATTCCTGTGCCCTGGCACACAGACCCATCCAGGAGGGTTCCAACCCCATAGCCTGGCACACAGACCCATCCAGGAGGGTGCCAACCCCACAGCCTTGGCACACAGACCCATCCAAAACCCATCCAGGAGGGTTCCAACCCCATAGCCTGGCACACAGACCCATCCAGGAGGGTTCCAACCCCATAGCCTGGTACACAGACCCATCCAGGAGGGTGCCAACCCCATGCCCTACCACACAGACCCACCCAAGGGGATCCCAGCCCCCCAGCCTGGCACAGCCCCCCCGGCACAGCCCAGTGCCAGGCCCTTACCGGAGATGAGCTGCCGGCGGCGGTACAGGAAGGTCTGGCAGGCCGTGTGGTCGCGGTAGACGACGTTGAGGCCGATGCTGTAGCTCTCCAGCCAGTGCACGGTGGCCAGGCCGCGGGCGCACACCTCCAGCGCCCGCACCCGCAGCGCCCCGCGCAGCTCCAGCCGCACCCAGCCGTGCAGCAGCTGCCCCCCGCCATGGGCCGGCCCGTCCTGCAGCCTCACCTCCAGCCTGCGCACCCGCCCCGGCGGCTGCATGGCTGCGCCGGGCCGGAGCCTGCCCGCAGCTTTCCAGGCACAGGAGGAAGAGCAAAGGCTACACCAAAATTCCTGAATTTATTGCGGTTCCTGGCTGGCCCCACCCTGCAGGCCTTCCCGGGGGCTGGACTGAGCCCCTGTTTTGCAGCGATGCTTTGGCGGCGGCCTGATGCGCGTGTGGCTACGATGTCCCGCGGTGACGAGGGACGTGTTTTTAAACCGGGGAAAAAATGTGCCTTCATCTTATCTCTGAGTCACAGCCACCGGCGACGTGACACCGGGACGTGCCGGTGGCTGTGCTGGCAGGGAGGGGTGACACACGCCGCCAGCCGTGCTGGCAGATCTCGCACAGCGCGCAATCAAAGAAAGCCTCTTTGGCCTTCCTGGTTCAGGCATTCCTGGGGCACTGCTGGAATGGGAGAGGAGCTCAGAAAGCTGAGGCACTCACTCCAAAAAGCGGCTTTACAGTCTGAGGTTGCACTAAAATCCACGTGAAAAAGAATGTGAATAATCACAGGGACGCCCAGCAACAGCTCTCCCAGCCAGCTGGTGCCTCCAAGGGTGATTCCAGCACTTATCCCCGTGGCTGTTCCTGCAGCAGCAAGGTGGCAATGCCACCTCAGGGTCACATCAAAGTTCTGGGGCAGACCTGGAGCAGATGCAAGTCCCTGTTACCCCACCAAATGTTGCAACTGAGGTGTTTGACTGGAGATGTTTAACAACGTGCTGGCATGAGGGACTGATAGGAGTGCCTGTGTGCACTTGGAAGATGTGAGTGCACGGCTCCTTTGAAGCACGTGTGGAGCAGAGATTGTCTCATTCCTGAAAAATAAAGAGTCAAATCCATAAAGGAAAGCACGAGGCTCGTGGGCCCAGGCACTGCTCACACACAGACCGAAGCAGTTGTGAAATTTCACTAGCCCCGTGCTCAAAGGGTCCCGAGGAATCAAAGCCGTGTGCATGAAAAGCTCCCGAAGTGGCAGCTGTGCCACCCTGCTCGCTCAACCCCCAAGGGAAGGGGCTGACCAGCCCCCCCAATCCCTCTGGAACACACCTAGATCCCAAACAGAGCTAGTGCAAGCTCAGCAGTCAGGAAGCCCATGTGAGTGACCAACTCTACAAAAACACAGGGCTCACCTCTAGGAAAACAGCCTGCTCATCACAAGCTGGGCAGAGCTGCCTCGCTGTCCTACTGTTCACTGACCTTTGGTTGCTGGCCTTGACACCAAAATCCAAACAGATAATAAGAATATCCCAGATAAACAGAATATCCCATCCTCCGGCCAGCCCTGGGGGTGCCTCTCGCTCTGTTTGATCCCCTGCCCTTCCTCTGTGCCTCCCCCTGCCCCACCCGCCTCGTTCCACCCTGGGGCCTGCCCAGAGGCTCTCCGTGGGATGTGTCACCCACACCTTTGGGCTAATCTCCTAGTGTTTATTCTTGCTGCCACAACACCTCCTTGTGTCCTCATTCAATCTGAGCAATAGATGTTCCCCGTGACAACACAGAGCCGAGAGCAGAGCGCGGGGACGGCTCTGGGATCCCACGCCGTGTAGGCAGCTCAGAGTGCGTCAGCGTCGCTGGGGGAGGGAGGACATCACCTTCCTCTGGGGACAGGGCCCTTCCAGGGTCCCCACGGGGACACAGCTCACTTGGGAGTTTGCCTTTTGGATTTCAGTGGGCTCCCGGACCTGGGTGTGAACTTGCCTCTCTGCTTAGCCCTGCAGAGGTTCTGTGCCCTCCTGGACAGCCGCCAGGATGAGCATTTCATCTGAGGAGACAAAACAGCTTTCAGCTCGCTGGGATGGGGCAGGTGGCACCACTGAACCTGGCAGCCCCAAGATCTGAGTGTTGTTACCTAAAGGGTCACCCCACCCGGGCAGCTGAGCATCCTCTGTCTCTGGTACCTGGCAGGTGCTCAGCTTTCTCTGCTGCTAGGGCAGAGGTGTTTACCCTGGCTGGACACCTCGAGCCATGACAATTTTCCTCCTCTGACCCTCTGTGGGGCTCTTCAGTCACCTCCTACCTCCCTCCAACACTCCCTGGTTTAGGGATTTGGTTGCCTGTCTTCCCTCTCCCTTCACAACATTTCTCATCTACGACTCTGCTCCCACTGAGGCTGGAGCAGACAGGGGTTGGTGCTCACTGGTCCATCTCAGGTAGCTCAGGAGCACACTCCAAGGGGAGTGCTGGCTATAAACTCACTTCCCCTGTGGTTAATCCAAGCCTGTTAAGGCTGGGCCTGCTGTGACACGTCTTTGGGGAGTCCCTCTGCTGCCTGTGAGGCACCAGCATGACACAACTTCCGTCTGCTGACAGATGGAATCAAAATTAAAATTATTTCATTTTCATTACGTGAGGCAGTAAATGAGGAGGCAGCACCAGGAAAGCTCTGCAGTCACAGATACCTGTGTGCATTTCCCCTGGTGACAGGAAAAGGCCGCCTCTGCCGCCAGCACTTTGCTCAAAACCTTCGCCCAAAAGGAAAACAACTCTCAGGGTGAGGAGGCAAATGAAGAAATCCACATAGCAGTTATGGGAATATCACTCCATATGGTAGTTATGGAGCTGCTCCAGAAGTTTAGGGCCAAGGAAAAGACCAATTCAGCTATGATCTGTTCCACATTTAGCAAATCAAATGGCTTAAACACAGATCCATGGCATGAAGGGACCCTCTCTCTGAACTGCTGGAGAAACAGGAGGCAACGTCAGAGGAGGATTTTCTTAATGCCTTCCATGACCAGCTCTAACCACATCCCTTCCTGAGGTTGCTTATGCACAGCTTTTGATCAAAATCCTTTCCTTCCTCCCAAAAATAAACTTAAAACAACTTTTAAAAACAAATGTAATGATGAAGAAAGATCAAGACATTGCTTCATGTCCCAGAAATCATTAATTTTATTCATTTTACGTAATGAAGTAGCAAAGGGAATGACAGCAGATTGCAGTGAGGTGAGTCACGAGACTGTGGAACAAGGATGTGGTGCACCAGGTGAGAAAACTGCAGCACCTGAGGATACAGCAAGTGTAGAACAACTAGAATCACTGAATATCCCACGTGGGAAGGAACCCACCAGGATCTCAAGTCCAGCAGCAAAAGCTTGGCTGGCAGTGGCTCTGCTTAGTGCTATGAACCTGTTTCATAAATCAGATTGATTCACTCAAAGGAAGATTTACTCAAAAGGTCCTTCCCCCCGAGGGTGCTGGCACTGCCCAGGCTCCCCAGGGAATGGTCCCGGCCCCGAGGCTGCCAGAGCTGCAGGAGCGTTTGGACAGCGCTCTCAGGGCTGCTCAGGGTGGGGCTGTTGGGGGGTCTGGGCAGGGACAGGGGCTGGATTTGATCCCTGCGGGATCCAGCTCAGGATATTCTGGGATTCTGTGATACTGGGCTGTAAAAAGAGAAAGCAAACTATCCAAGTAGTTATTGGAGCTTTAATTAACAGCAGCACGAGTGTGACTCTGTGCCCAGGCACGGAGCCGCTGGGGCCCAGAGGAAGCAGGTGGGACCCACGTGCTGAGAATGGAAAAGTGGAAACCCCCCCATCCCTGCCTCCACAGAGAATGTTCCCCTGCCGCACTCACCGGGGGTGGGAGGTCTCCTCAGGGGGGACAAGGGAAGATCTCCCTGTCTCCAGGTGAGATCTCTGTGGGCCTCTTCAAGTTGGGTTTCCCAGATTTCTTTGACTCAACCGCGGCCTGGTCCAACACCAGCACAGCGGCGAGGCCAGCCCGGAAGCCCCAGAAGGGGGAAAGCGGAGGGTGGGAAAAGGGCTGATGGAGGATTCGCTGGAGGGGTGCGGGGGTCGCGAGGGACACGGACAGCGGGGCCCGGCCCCGGGCGGGCCGCGGGGCAGCCAGGCCGCGTTGCCATGGCGACGGGTCCGCCTCCTTCCCGGCGTGCCCCGCGCCCGCACGCGCCCGCACACCCGGAAGTGTTGCCATGGCGGCGGGCGCGCTCTGGGGGCTCGTGGCCGCGCTGGAGACGCACCGGGGCCGCGACCGGGCGGTGAGTGACGGGTCTGAGCCCGCCGGTACCGAGTGAGGGGTCTGAGCCCGCCGGTACCGAGTGAGGAGAGGGGTCTGAGCCCGCCGGTACCGGGCGGTGAGTGAGGGGTCTGAGCCCGCCGGTACCGAGTGAGGAGAGGGGTCTGAGTCCGCCGGTACCGAGTGAGGGGTCTGAGCCCGCCGGTACCGAGTGAGGAGAGGGGTCTGAGCCCGCCGGTACCGGGCAGGGAGTGGGGAGTGAGGGGTCTGAGCCCGCCGGTACCGAGTGAGGAGAGGGGTCTGAATTCTCCGGTACCGAGTGAGGAGAGGGGTCTGAATTCTCCGGTACCGGGCGGTGAATGACGGGACCCGACTCTGCAGTAGGGACCCACCCTTAAGGGGAAGGAAGCACCCGAGGCATTTCCAAGTGCTCGGTGCTGGGAAGGAGCGCTGGAAGGCAAAGGGTGCGCAAACAATCCCGGTTTTACCGGCAAATGCCGGGATGGAAACGGGAATGGCAGTCCCGGAGCACAGCGCAGTGGGAGTTGGGTAGCGGGAAGAGAAGCTGCAGACGGAGAGGGGAATTAAAGAGAGGAGAAGGGACAGACGGAGTGGTGAATCAAGGAGAGGAGAAGGGACAGAGGAGGGAGAACACCCGCCCCGGTTCCTCCGGGCCGTGCAGCCGGTGGCCCCGGGCGCTGAGCGGGCCGTGCCCCGCAGGTCCGGGCGCTGTCCTACGGCTGCCAGCTGGCGGGGGCAGCGCTGCCCGGCCCCGCGGGGCTGCCCGGGGCGCTCCTGGCCGCCTCTGCCCAGCTCAGCTCCTGCCGCACCGCCCTGCGCCTCTTCGACGACCTGGCCATGCTCCGCCACAGCTGCAGCTACGGGCTGGGCCCCGAGGTGAGCGCGGCCCCGGGGGTCCCGGCCGGCTCCGGGGGTCCCGGGCGGCTCCGGGGGTCCCGGGCGGCTCCGGGGGTCCCGGGGGGTCCCGGGCATCCCCCGAGACGAGCGCGGCTCCGGAGCTCCCGGGCATCCCCCGAGGTGAGGGTGGCTCCGGGGATCCCGGGCAGCCCCCGAGGTGAGCTCAGTCCCGGGGGTCCCGGGCGGCTCCGGGGGTCCCGGGCATCCCCCGAGGTGAGCTCAGTCCCGGGGGTCCCGGGCAGCCCCCGAGGCGAGCGCGGCCCTGGGGGTCCCGGGCGGCCCCGGAGCTCCCGGGCATCCCCCGAGGTGAGCGTGGCTCCGGGGATCCCGGGGGTCCTGGGCGGCCCCGGGGGTCCCGGGCATCCCCCGTGCCCCATGTGCCGCTCTGTGCCGCTCCCCGCAGGGCGAGGACGCGCTGGTGCGGGGGCTCTCGGTGCTCTGTAACGTGGCTAACCAGCTCTACTACCCCTGCGAGCACCTGGCGTGGGCGGCGGATGTCGGCATCGTCCGCGCCGGCTCCCGGCGCTGGTGGGCGCGGAGCACGGCGCTGTGGGGCTGTGCCCTGCTCCTGGGCATCCTGCGGTACGGCCGGGAGGGGCACCGGGTGGGCCCGCCCTGGCACCGGGCGCCAACAAAGCGCTGGGAGCTGCTCGTCCTCCCTGAAGCTCGTAGTGCAAAAGATAAAAAAACAAACTCCTCCTGTTTGGTGCTGTAGGAGAAATAACTGTGTTCTTTTCAGGTCCCTGAGAATCTTGTGCCAGTTAAGAAGGAAACTGAGCCAGCACAAGTGGTATGATTTCCTTCCGTGGCTGTAGGGCTGATCAGGCAATCCCTGAGCGGTTTGGGTTGGGAGGGACCTCAAAGCCCACCCAGTGCCACCCCTGCCAGGGCAGGGACACCTTCACTGTCCCAGGCTGCTCCCAGCCCTGTCCAGCCTGGCCTTGGGCACTGCCAGGGATCCAGGGTGGGCACCCTGTGCCAGGGCCTGCCCACCCTGCCAGGGAACAATTCCTGCCCAATCTCCCATCCAGCCCTGCCCTCTGGCACTGGGAGCCATTCCCTGTGTCCTGTCCCTCCAGGCCTTGCCCCCAGTCCCTCTCCATCCTTCCTGTAACTCACCCACACCCACCAGCTCTCATCTGTAGCCATCAAAGTTCTGAGGACGTGCTGGACTAATGTGGGAAATTGGATTTGTAGGAAATTCTCAAAGTTTGACAGAAGGCTCACACAGTGTGCATCTGTATGCAAACCTTGAGATGAGAATTGCTGACTTAGAAATGCTATGGAATTAGACAGTGTTGAAAGAGAAATGGAACTAGAAACAAGTTTCAAATGATGTTTGTTTAAATAAGATTAGATACTTTGGAGAAATAGAAGTATAAAAGATGTACTGTAGTAGCTGATAGGCCAAGAAACACTTATAATGTGTTGTAATTAGGAAATAACTGGCTTTTGATTGTGATGGTGTGAATTATAACATCGGTATTGTCTCACCCTTCACATGAGACTGAAAATGGAATAAAAGTTTTCAAAACACCTCTCAGTTGCCCCATCTGTGGGTGAGAAAAGGACTGTCACTAACATCACCTTTTCTTCCTGCAGCACTTCTCCACCTCAGCAGCAGCAGAAGCTGAGAGCCCAGGTGAAGGCTGAAGTTCTGAGCATCCTCATGGACACAGCAGATCTTTCCAACGCCATCCACTGGCTGCCTCCAGGGTTCCTCTGGGCAGGAAAGTTCCCTCCTTGGCTGGTAGGACTCCTGGGGACCATCTCCTCCCTGATTGGAATCTACCAGGCATCAAGAGGAGCAAATTCTGAAGCTGTTTAAGCCAGAACTGAGCTTCACAAGCTCAGTTTTCACATGGTAAAAGTGCCTTGAGTGAGGCAGGGTGTATTTTAATTTCCTGGGTTGATGATTGTCCTTCCAGATATCCCATAATCAGGACTGGAATCCAGATGCCTGTTGCAGAAGGGATTGTTTGCAGCTGATAATTTTTATCACTCTTCATCAGAGAAATAATTCAGGTGAATCCTCTGAAAATCAAGAATCTCCTACAATGGGCAAAACTGTGGGGGAAAGATTTGCTTCCATCTGTCCCAAAAGATAAATGCAACCTCCCAGTGTTTTTTGTCACTTGAAGGAGCACAGTGGCCAGGTTCTGTCACAGAGGACTGGTAGGGGATGAAGCCTGTGAGGTCACACTCTGGCCTTGGTGCTGCACCTGAGCCAGGATGGGACCCCCATCCTGGCAGTTCTAAAGGTGTTTTGGCCTTTGGGCTCATTCAGGAGCCAGCAGCAGTGTTGTTTGTGACCCCTGTGTTTCCTTAGAGGTGAGAGGGGCAGGAAATTGCTGGAAGCAGCTTGGACCTTCCTGGCCTGCCTTGCCCGTTTAAGGAGAATTGTTGAAGTGGAGCCTTCCCGCAGAGCTGAGGCTCCAGCTGTGCCTTTGTGGAATGCCACCGGGTGGAGCTCTTCCACCAGGCTCCAGCAGCTACCGACCGACCTTTTTCTATTTAAGGAAAGGAAAAAAAAAACAAACAGGAAATTTATTCATCACCTTTCAAAGGAGCAATCAAACCAACGCCGAGGTGGGGTTTTGCAATTACAGCTCTGGGCGTTGCCAGTAATAAACGCCACAAATGCTTGAAAGGTGGCCTTGAGTGATCATTCCTCCTGACTGCAGGGAGAAGTTCTTTATCTTTGGTTCTGGAAAGCTCCAAAGCATGAGTGCTGTGTGAACTGCAGCTCCACATGTGTCACCAGCCTTCCTCCTGCTGCAGTAATTGCCAGCTCCTGCCCGAGTGCCATGGAATTGCATCCTTTGAAAAGAGTTGTGCTTACTCTGCGTGTCCCTGCCCCCAGCACGGCTCATGCTGCACTCTCAGGAGCTTTGACCTGGGTTTGTGGCGTTGTTTCTGGCCTGGACACGGGGAGCTGTGTCCTCCCTGTGTTCAAAGAGCAGACTCAGGCCTGGATACTCTTTACCCTTTGCCCTGTCCTTGGTGTTTATCTGGACCTGCACCCTGCGGTGTCCCTGAGGATGTGGCTGTGCTGGGGATTTGCAGACTGACAGGATTTGGTACAACTGGAGGAGACTCTTGTTTATTCTCTCCTTTTTGCAGTCCTGTGCCTGAACAGGGGGAAGACCCAAGTCCTCTGGCTGTTGCCTGGTCCTGTCACCCACTGTGGTGGCTCTGGCTGCACTTTAGTGGTTTTTAATAATAAATCAGATTTTTTTTGGTGTTCTTAGCCCCATTGAATCATCCCTCCAGGATTCACTGTACTGCTCAGCACAGGACAATACCATTAGGTATTCATACAGTACAGTATTAATGCTAATACTATGCAGGACAATTGTAGCTCAGGCAATTAAAAAAAAAAAAACAAAAAAACCAAGAAACCTCGCATAACCTTTAATGCCAAATTAATAACATTTTTAACCATGCATTCATTTTAATGTAGAGAAAGGACACTGTAAGCTGCTCTAAGTGCATTTGCTTCATCAATTCCTCAACAACTGACCTTAATTTGCAGCTTGTAAAGCTGGAGCGTGCAGAGATAAATCAAAATTGGGTAATTCAGAATTTCTGGAATTTGTATTTTTTTCTTGAGGTGTTTTGATCCCTGCTGACACACAGTGTTTAAACACCTGTGATGACCACTGCTCCTTCTCCAGGGCAGCACTCGCTCGTTTTTAGCACCAGGATTTGTGCAGGCAGACCCAATCCTCCCCAAACTTGGTGGTTTTCTTCTCTTTTCTGACGTGGCCATCAGCCCAACTCGTCTCTTGCTCCTGAGAGACAGTGACAGTGTTCCTCGGGCAGGAAAGCGCCTGCGCTGCTGCTGGCGGTGCCGATGACGGGCCGGGCTGCGCAGCTCTGAGCGGGGCTCCAAGCAGGAGCACAATTGCTGAGCAGGGCTGGTTCCGAGTGCCGCCCTGCCTCGGCAGCAGGCCGGGATCCAAAGGCCGCGGGCAGGCGCTGCCGATCCCGCGGCCGCCGCGTTCCTGGCCCTTGGTGACTCCGTCCGCAAAGCTCCGCCGCGCTCCGGAGCCTCGGATCCGCCGGCCGCGCCGCGATGCTCGGGCCGGGGGAGTGCGGGGGACAGCGGGGACAGCGAGGGACCCCCGCACACGCGGGGACAGCGGGGACACTGAGGGACCCCCGCACACGTTGGGGACACCGAGGGACACGGGGACAGCGGGGACACCGAGGGACCCCCGCACACGTGGGGACACTGAGGGACCCCCGCACACGTGGGGACACCGAGGGACACGGGGACAGCGGGGACACCGAGGGACACGGGGACACCGAGGGACACGGGGACAGCGGGGACACCGAGGGACACGGGGACACCGAGGGACCCCCGCACACGCGGGGACAGCGGGGACAGTGAGGGACCCCCGCACACGTGGGGACACCGAGGGACCCCCGCACACGCGGGGACACCGAGGGACACGGGGACAGCGGTGACACCGAGGGACCCCCGCACACGCGGGGACGGGTCACGGCCACGCTGCCGGCGGGCAGGGCGGGTGCAGCGCGCGGCGCATGCGCACCGGTGGCCCCGCCTCCCATTCACAAAGCGAGCCGGCCGCCCGCCGCGGCCGCTGATTGGCTGCGGGCGGGAGGGGCGGGGCCGGCGCCGGGCGGCCACGCGGCGGCGGCGGAGGGGCGGCGGCAGAGCCGGAGCGGAGCGGGACCGGGCGGGACCGGGCACCGAACCGGGAACGGAACCGGGCACGGAACCGGGTATGGGATAGCGGGGACCGGCTGCGGAACCGGCTACGGGATAGCAAGGATTGGGCGGGACCGGGTACGGGATAGTGGGGATCGGGCGGGAGCGGGTACAGAACCGGGTACGGGATAGCAGGGACCGGGCGGGACCGTGTACGGCACCGGGTGCAGAACCGGGTGCGGAACTGGATACGGGACCGGGTGCAGGATAGCGAGGACCGTGCGGGACCACGTGCGGGAGCAGGTGCGAGATAACGGGGACCGTGCGGAACCGGGTACGAGATAGGGGGGACCGTGCGGGACAACTGGACCAGGTGCGGAACCGCGGGGCCGGGTGCAGAATAACTGAGTCAGGCGGCGGGTGAGACCCTGAGCTGGGTGCGGGACCGCGGGGCGGGCTGGGCGCGGGCATCACCGGGAGCGCACATCGCCCCCTCCCCGGTGCTACGTGAGGCCCGGCGGAGCTGGGCACTGCACGGGTGTTTGTGCGGAGCTCCCGGTGCCCCGTTTCGCTCGGTGCCCCGCGGTGCGGTACCGGCCGGTACCGCGCTCCTCTCGGCGGCCGCCGTCCCGCCGCAGCCCCGGCCGTGCCGGGCCCGGCACCGCGCTGCCCGTGCTGACTCGCCGGTTTTGCCTCGCAGGGCAGCCTCAGCACTATGTCCGTCAGCAGCCACGAGAACCGGAAATCCCGCTCGAGCTCGGGCTCCATGAACATCCACCTCTTCCACAAACCGGGCCACGCCGACAGCCTCCTCACCCAACTGAACCTGCTCCGCCAGCAGAACCTCTTCACCGACGTGGTGCTGCGGGCAGGCAACCAGAGCTTCCCCTGCCACCGCGCCGTCCTGGCCGCCTGCAGCCGCTACTTCAACGCCATGTTCAGCGGGGGCCTGAAGGAGAGCAGAGATGCCGAGGTCAACTTCCACGACTCGCTGCACCCCGAGGTGCTGGAGCTGCTGCTGGACTACGCTTACTCAGCCCGGGTGCTGATCAACGAGGAGAACGCGGAGTCCCTGCTGGAGGCCGGGGACATGCTGCAGTTCCAGGATATCCGGGATGCTTCGGCTGACTTTCTGGAGAAGAATCTCTACCCTGGGAACTGCCTGAACATGCTCCTGCTGTCTGATGCCCACTGCTGCGAGCGGCTGCTGGAGCTGTCCTGGAGGATGGCCTTGGCCAACTTCACCTCTCTCTGCAAGACTGAAGATTTCCTCCGACTGCCCAAAGACAAGCTGCTGGAGCTGGTGGAGAGCGAGGAGCTGGAGGTGGAGGATGAGACGCTGGTCTATGAAGCCGTTATAGGCTGGATCCGCTACGATTTGCCCCGACGCCACGAAGTTCTGCCCGAGCTGCTGCGCTCCGTCCGCCTGGCCCTGCTGCCCGAGCCCTACCTGCGGAAGCAGGTGGCCTGTGAGAAGCTGGTGACCAGCCACAAGCTGGGGGAGGAGATCGTGGCCGACGCCGTGCGATGCAAAATGAAGATCCTGCAGAACGACGGCCTGGTGACGGGGTGCTGCGCCCGGCCCCGCAAGGTCAGCCAGGCCCTGCTGCTGCTGGGGGGCCAGACCTTCATGTGCGACAAGATTTACATGCTGGACCATAAAACCAGCGAGATCATCCCTCGTGCCGACATCCCCAGCCCCCGCAAGGAGTGCAGCGCCTGCGCCATCGGCTGCAAGGTCTACATCACCGGCGGCAAGGGCTCCGAGAACGGCGCGTCCAGGGACGTCTGGGTGTACGACACCCTCCACGACGAGTGGGCCAAAGCTGCTCCCATGCTGGTGGCGCGGTTTGGCCACGGCTCCGCCGAGCTGGACCACTGCCTGTACGTGGTGGGGGGTCACACGGCCATGAACGGGGCCTTCCCGGCCTCTCCCTCCGTGTCCCTCAAGCAGGTGGAGCACTACGACCCTCAGCTGGACAAGTGGTCGCTGGTGGCTCCTCTCCGGGAAGGCGTGAGCAACGCCGCCGTGGTGGGGGCCAAGATGAAGCTGTTTGTGTTCGGGGGCACCAGCGCCAACCAGAACAAGCTGCCCAAGGTGCAGTGCTTCGACCCCTGCCAGAACCGCTGGACGGTGCCCGCCAGCTGCCCCCAGCCCTGGCGCTACACGGCCGCCGCCGTGGTGGGCAGCCACGTCATCGTCATCGGCGGGGACACGGAGTTCTCCGCCAGCTCCGCTTACCGCTTCCACAGCGACACCTTCCAGTGGTCCAAGTTTGGGGACGTCACGGCCAAGTGCATCAGCTGCCGCGCTGTCACCTCAGGGAACAGGCTCTACGTGGTGGGGGGCTACTGCGGGGCTCAGCGCTGCAAAACCCTGGACTGCTACGACCCCTCGTCCGACACCTGGAGCAGCGTCACCACGGTGCCCTACTCCCTCATCCCCACCGCCTTCGTCAGCACCTGGAAGTACCTGTCAGCCTGAGCGTGGCCAGGGACCTGGAAGGTAAATAAATACTCGTGGGTCAAGCAGAGCTCCTCTGTACCAGGTTAAAACTTGAGGGGCAGATGCACGTGGCTCTGGACTGGAGTTGTCCAAGAGAGCAGCCTTGTGTGAGTATCAGCTCCAAAACTTCCAGGCTGGTAGTGTGGGATCTAAAAACCCTGCAGGGGAGAGAAGGTCTCTCTAGGTGCTGAAACGCTGCAGGGAGATCAGTATAAATAACAAGATTCTTAACCTGGCATCTTGGCCCGTGCAAAGATTTTGGGGAATGCTGTGTGCAGGGATTGGGTGTCGTCCCTGGGTGGGGAGGCTGGAGGAGCCGATGTTTTTGCAGGCAGGCTGTCTGCAGGAGCTGGGACAGACCCCGTGGTGCCACCGGCTCCGGCTGCTGCTTTTAGCACAGCCTCCTCCTCCTGGTGCCACACTTAATCTGCCAGTGGCACCCAAATGTCTTGTGGGACGCCAGGGC